ATGATTTCTGCTGAAATATATGAGCTTATTCTTAGGGGGTCTCCACTGAAGGTGATGGTTCTTTTTTCCCCAGCTATTTTCAGTATCCTGGCCTTGTCCTAAATATTGGGAAATTTTACTATGATATATCACAATGTTTTTCTTTGGGGGTCTATATTGCTTGGGATTATCGATAGTTGTATTTTCCTCTTTTATGTTGTTTAGGGAAGTTTTCTTCCAGAATTCTTGTGCAATTTACTCTGTGGGTTTTTTTTTCTTTTTGTTCTGGAACTTCAGTTAAACATATGAAGGGGCAAGCCCCCCAAAATGGAAGAAAGCTCTGCTTGACAGAGGTTTGATAGTACACATTTTTCCCACTAGGTAAGCATTGAGCAATTCACTCTGAATTAGTGCACCCAGTGGGGTCACTTGGGAAATTTTCTGTGGTCACAGTGAATTTTTTGTTAAAGCAGTTTCCCTCAAAGCACATTTTTTGTGATGGCTGATTTAAGAGAACTGTGTGCAGTTGTGAAATTTTGTTTCCTGTTTGGGAAAAAATGCTGCAGAAACTGTTGTGATGTTGAACACAGCTTACAAGGCCAGCATTATGGGAAAAACTGAAGTGTATGAGTGGTTTTTCCATTCCAATAAAGGTGAAATATTGATCTATGACAAACCTCGTTCTAGACTTCCATCAACTTCCTGAACGAATGAAAATGTTGACTTGTAGTGCTTTTAGAGTTCATTCCACCAGGTCTGATTGTTAATTACGCTTTCTATGTAGAGGTTCTGAAAAAATAACTGTGTGCTACAAAAACGGTCTGATTTGTGGCAGAAGGGGGACTGGCTTTGCCAACATGACAGTGTACCTGCTCACACAGCCATCTCAGTGCACCAGTCTTGGGCCAAAAAACAGCCTGCCTCTTTAGCCCCATGCACCTTACTCACTTGACCTCACGCCACATGACTTCCTTTTGTTCCCACAAATGAAGAGGGACATGAAAGGACAGTGATTTGACTAGTAGAAGAGGCAAAGAAAAAACGAGGGAGGTGCTATTAGCCATACAAACAGATGAGTTTGTAAAACGTTTCCAAGAATGAAATCGCAGATTTGACCAATGTATTAAGTGTAATAGAGAGTACTTTGACAGTGATAGGTTGTTTTGTTAAAAAAATTTAAATACATAGCTTTGAAAAAAAAATCTGTTTTTTGGGGGGGTGTGGTGGGGGGTACCTCCACATAGTTGTTACTCTTGATAGGGCCCCACATAATTCTTAGCTTTCTTCAGACTCCATTGCTATTTTTGTTGATTGGTCTTACCGATTAGAGTCAAGCGTTTTGACTTCAAGTTTGCTAATCAGCTTTACATTTCTTTAGTTCTATTACTGAGTTCTTGTAAACTTGTGCAATTATGTTATTTGAGCATTCATCATCTTGATTTCTGTTAAGTTTAAGCTTCGTAGTGTTTTTATTTTGTACGTTGTTCTCTCTGACTCTGCATCCATTGCAAACTCCATCTATTCTTCTAAATTCTTTTTCTGGTAGTTCCAGGGCTTTTCTTCTTCATAAATTCCTTTGGATGTAGGTGTTGTTTACTTGTCTCTCTTGCTTTTTTTCTCATGTGGACCAAAATCGACTGCAGTCTTCACACCATTGTTGTGCAGCTGTTAGTGTTGGGAAGGTTGCTGTGTCATGTGAGGGTAATTTCTCTGTTCACAACACTGAGGTGGGAAGGAGGGTACCAAAGAGGAAAGAGGGAAATAAAAGAGAGGAAAATAGTGAAAGAGTAGTGAGATAAAAAGAAAAGGAATTTGATAGAAGTGAGATTGAAAAATATGTTAGTTTGAGAAAAAAACTAAAAAGAAACTTAAAAATAAGGAAAAAAAGAGAAAAAGATGTGGGAAAAATAGTTTTAAAAATGGTTCTGGAGGGCGTGAGCTTAGTGACTCACAGAGGGATACAGATAGCTACAGCTCCTCTGGGGGGGCTTTGTGTGGGCAGAGGGCGGAGGCCAGAGAGGGGAGATCACTGAGCGATTGAAACAGAACATTTGGCTCGCCCTTAGGAACATTGCCCAGTGCCTAACTCGTCCTACAAAGAAGACATCACCTTGGCTAGAGAAATTGCTTCTCCATATGCCATGTGCCAAGGCTCCAACCCAGGACACCTTAAGAGTTATTTTATAAGTGACTTGGTTTTGCATAACAGCGAGTAATGCAGCATCTTTCCTTTGATGGAAAACTAATAAGAAAAGTGTTTGTAATTAAATTTAAGAAAAAGAGACCAAAGAGATACGTGGGCAATTCAGCTTTATGCAGATCATTTTAATGATTTTGTCTTGCCTGTAAGAATGTTGAAGAATGCTATGAATGGAGTGACAACAAAGTTTGTTAGAACATCGAAAAAGTGAAGTATCCAATGTTAGTTGTTAGGTTGGCTCCACAGGAAGATGGTTGGTAACTGGAGCATCTACTGCAGAGTTCACCTTGTAGAATGGACTGACTTTTGATTTGAAACAATATCACAGGCTCATGATAGCCTAGTAAGGTGATGATGTGGTTACGTAATGATATGTGGGTGCTGACAGCAGATCCTGGAGGATATGTAGAATGAACATGAACAACATCAGGATGTTCCAGGAACATGAGGAGGGAATTTAGGAGGTCAGGTTGATACACAATATACCATTTTCCTGTAGTCCTTATTGCCATGGTTAAATTATTCTCTAAGTGTATTCTGGGTTTAGAGATTCATGGGTTGTGTCAGATTTGGGGGACACTTTCTGCACCTTGTGAACACAATATTTTTCTTTTTTATATGTTCACCATTTTGTGAGCATGTTTCTAAAGTAGTATGGTCTTGGTATCTTGCTTTGCAAAATGTTAGCATTGTATTATTTGCTGCGTGGTTTTCTTTATGATTGATAATGTCTATACGTTACCCCTTTTTATTACCCACTGTCTATGATAAGAATATTTCATTTTAATTTCCAAGAATTCAATTAAAATTTTTTAAAACCTCTGATTGGTTGCATTCTTCCCTTGGCCCAGGAGCACAGAGCTGGGTGGGGCTTGGCTGGGGCACTAAACCATTCCTGGCCTGTGTCAGGTGCCCAGCTGTACTGGGCATTACTGGGGCGTCTGTCACTTGGAGTCTGGGTCAGGTGCCAGCCAATTGCGGCCTGGGTTGGATGTCAAGTTGCACAGGAACTGGCCTGGGCTCCAAGCCATGGGTTGGCATGGGTTGGGCAGAGTCCTCTGAGGCTGACTGGGGCACCATGCTGGGCTGGTAAGCTGGGAGTAGCTGGGGCTGGTGGAGCCGAGTGAGCACGAGTTCCTCTTGAGTGGACCTGCCCCTTTCTCTCTGTCATTGGCTCACTTCTCTAGCGTGTGGAAGTTTCAATTCACTGAGCTTTCCAGCCGTTCTCTGAGGTCACAGGTCGCCTTTACTGTTGTAAAGATTTCCTCCTCAGGGTGCAGAACAATCCACCTGTGTGTGTGCATTTAGCCATCTTGGCCCTGGAAGCCCCCAGTTGCTTTCTGTAGGTGTATTTGAATAAAAATAAATATTTGTATAATATAGAGATTTCACCTAACCCCATTATGATAGAGGAAATCTTTTCCTAGTTAAGAATTTCACATATAGGTAAAAATACTGGGGCCCATGTCTGATAGCACATAGGCTCCAGTGTTATCACATAGCTGTCATTTAGATCAACTACTGACTATGTGCCAGCATATCTCCAAGATTTTCTATGTGTGAACTAATCCTCTTCACAGCTCTTCCATGATTTA